ACAACCAAGTCTCCACCCCTTCATTTCAAACCCCACTGGCAGTTAAAGGAAAAAAACAGCAGACATTTCATATTACTCTGAGAAGCACAAAGCTAAAAGCACAAGCCTGATGATGATGAATGTGATTTCATCGAAACGTCGCTATGACACTTCTAATCTTACACGGGAGAAAACCCGAATGACCAAAGACTCACATATATATGTTTTCTGAGGTTTCTGAGGTTTATTTGTTTTCTGAGGTATATATATATATAATGTGTATATATATATACACACATTATATATGTACACATTATATATATACACATATGTCAATACAAATTTTAAATGTATTTCTGTTGAAATTCTATTGAAGTGGGACTTCTATTTCTTTTAATGTGTTTCTGATTTACATTAGCATCTACAAAATGCACTACACAATTCAATCAGAAATCAAGTTGAAAAAATAAATTCTGAATTGGGTGGCAATTCAAAGTCATTCTTCTTCAGAGATTTCATTGGTATTTCTTGTTACTTTCATAATTTGAGCTGTTACGTATCTTTTCAGCAATTCATTGTGCTGCTGCAAAGAGTGTTTGCTCTTCTTTCAAATGGATTTCCTTTTTATATAAACAGAGCAATTCCTAATCCAGCCAGAGTGCAGAAATCTGAGCAATCCTCCAAATGCAAGGATATATGGAGTAACAATTGGTCATCATCAATCAAGAAGAAAAGGTAAAATGTCTGCATTCAGTTATAAATGTACTTGACTGACAAGCAGCCCTGGCAATTTTACAATCCTGAAAAGCTAAGTGTATAGCATAGCAATTTTAGGTGTGAAGAATCCATTGGCATCTCCTTATAGGAACTTGGCCAAAATCTTTTAGTAGTTGAATTGGCCAACATCTGATTTAATCTAAATGTGATTACCCTGATAAATTATTATAGCATCATACTTTATTGTCATGGCATCTGCTGTCTAGAATGGCATCTCTTGAAAGGTTCACATTGCCCCAACTCCATTGCCCAGCAAATTAGTTTTAATTAGCTGCAGTGGTGGGATTCAAATACCTGAACAACCGGTTTTCTTATTGAATGCAGGCCTGGGCCTCCGAGGCCTAGAACAGACTTCCATAAGTGGCATCCATGCACTTCCGTCGGGCCGTTCTAGGCCTGGGCGGCTTCTGGGGTCTAGAACGGACTTCCGTGGCATCCATGCACTTCCGGCAGGCCATTCTAGACCTGGAAGGCCTCCTCCTGGCCTCCCAGGCCTAGACTGGACTTCCAGAAGCAGTGTGCATTCAGCTGGTTCTCCGAACTCAGCAAAATTTAGCTACTGGTTCTGCCGCATCGATGCAAACCGGCTGAATCCCACCACTGATTATCTGGTTCTTTTCCCAGATCCTGGGGTAAGAAATTGTTTTTGGTGCATTTTTGTTATCAGACCAGGGACTTTTTTGTTTGCTTTTATCATTTTTATCTAGCCTTACTTATAATTGGGTATATTAGCTGTTTTGTAGTATCTGCCCTGAGTTGGTTGACTTGGGTAGTTCTATAAATTTGATACCATGAAAGTATATAAAATCACCTGAATTCTGATCTGAAATATGTATTTTCCTATTCAGAGGTATGTCCACTGGTAAGTTATATATGTAAATACAAAGATAAAGATTACAATAGAGATAATATGCTTTATGCTTTGTACAAAATACTATTTATTGGCCAAGCAAGGATAGAGTCCAGACTGGTATGGAAACTGCCCTAATGATATTCCATGGAAAGCATGAGAGCCTATATTATTGCTTATGTTGGACTATCAAATCATATGCCTTAAATTGCCCACAATTCCACCAACTGAAATCATTCTGATGCATTGTGGGCATTAACATGATGGCCTGATGTCTTGGTGAGGAAAGCCTATCTGTATCAGTTGACAAGATGATAATTGTACTAGAGGATATGACATCCAGGATACTCATGAATTAAAAACTGGATTTAGGATTAACCAATCCAAGAGCTTGAATCTACCAGCCAGTTGAAAAAGTTTGGTTGCTACATATTATCTCTTCATGTCCCTGGGGCTGTGATGTTTTGAGACAACCTTGCTTCATTTGATGCCCTCCAAATATGTTGTTTTTCTGCATCCAGAAGACCAAGATTTTGACATGCTGTTTGAAATTCTGGGAGTTGAAGTTCAATATATTCCCAAATTACAGATGGTTACTCTGATGTCTAAACCCACAGCTGGTAGTTTACCAGCTAAGTCTCTGCCTTAACAGTCTATATATTGCTAATATGTAAGGGTTTTACTTACAGGTGAAGAAAAAGGATAATTGAACTTCATCTATTTAGCTTTAGAAGTTCTGTTTATGCTGTAATTTCATATATAATACTCACTTATGTTAATGCAGTGATGCATGATATCAAACAAGCCATCAGCTAATAGACAATTTTTTTGCTCTGGTTGAGTTTTTCCCCCTTACATGTTGATTTTTATATTACTCGTTTAAACAAGCTCAAATTTCCATAGCTAATTTCAGTATTTTTTATATATTATAAAATATTTTATATTACATCTATCTGTCTGTCTGTCTGTCTGTCTGTCTATCTATCTAATTCTTATCCCTTTTTTTCATAAACACAAGGCACACATATCAATACCCCTTCCCCTCCTATTTCCCCCACAGCAACTCCTTCCCCTTATGAAGTGAAAGAAGGATGACTAGCCCAGTGTCACTCAGTTGGCTTTCATGCCAAAGGTGGGACTCAGTCTCCTATTTTCTAGGTCAGCATCTTAACTACTACACCAAACTGATGTTTATGAGATTTTGTTAGATGACAAAAAATCAACAGAAACATACTTCCATTCAAGTTTTTTCAGTGTTTTGATTAACAAATACTGTTTCAATAACAATATTGCTTTGGTGAAGAACCTCTATGTTAAGACATTCATACATAATATTCCAATGAATTTTTCATGACAAATAATCACCCAACACAGTTGATTATTGCAGCTATATAGTGGTGGAGACTGGACCTCCAGGCCACAAGAAGTCAGAATAACTGACTCAGCAGGGACAGGCTTTGAGGCACACAAGTCAGGCTGAGTCAACAGCAGCCTGTCAAGCTGTTGATTGCCATAACCCTTGGCAGCCATTACAGAAGTTCTTAAATAGCTGTAGAATGGAATGCTTTGGGAACTTATTTACACAGAAAAACAGGCTATCTTATTCAAAGATTAAGAGCTTGCATTAATTTACATCTTTTTGTTTTATGCACCGTAGCATGCTGATAATTCTAATGCAGCATCAGAAAACTGTGACCTATATCAAGATTTCTTACACTTATAAATCTTTTATAGTTTAACAATAAAAATTTCAAAGCAACACATTAATTAACAGTATCTACTCCACTGAACATCAGAATCTGATATGGTCTTTCTCATGTGCTGCAACTCAAGCAGTGATGACTAACTAAGAATTTCCTTCAGATGATATTATTAGCTTGAAGGCAAGATGTACAGGTCGGAAAACTGCAGTTCAATATAATTTTGAGATCTCGCATCAAAAAAACCATAGAGAAAATGTGACAGAAAGTGTCAAAGAACTAAAATAGGACATAATAGGTTTATTAGTTCTAAATTCCTAATTGGCAACTTCACAACGAAAGATTTGTTGCTCATTCTTCAGGAATCATAGTTTCCTTTGCAATTAGGATTGCTTTAAAGCCATGTTTACCATGGTATGTGAAGTATAGGATTTAGATCTGTCACTGATACCAGTTGATTTAGTGTTTTGCTGGAGATTGCTTACATGACATTTAGCCAGATTGGTATTTACATGATTGTTAAGCAAATTGGAGCTTTCTGGAAATTTTGGGATATAGCTACTTAGATCCCTTGTAACTGACTATTCTCAGATGGGAGTGGCATACCAAGCTTCAAGGGGGAATAAAACCAATATGGATAACAAAAACATTCAAAGACTTTAACAATTTATATAATTTAATTTAATTTAATTTAATTTAATAATTTAATTTATATACCGCCCTTCTCCCGTAGGACTCAGGGCGGTGCACAGCATATTAAAACAGACAAACAAAATACATAAAGAACAAAAAACCCCCATAAAACCAAATTAAAAGCCAAATATTAGAAGCTGTGTGTCAATTAAAATTTTCTTAAAATCATCCCTACCTAAAATCCTCCC